GAGAGAGAGAGAGAGAGAAAGAGAGAGAGAGATTATCGCATTTGATTTAAAATATTTATTGAATTTTAAGTTATTTTCAAAAAATTTAAGGATTTGCTTATCAAATCACCAATAATTATAATTCATGAATTGTTTATTAATAATAATAAAATTTTTATATCAATTTACAGTTTAAACAAATTTTAACTACCCTGAAAAAGACTAACATTTATTTTTATCCTTCTAAATACTGTAATATGTTTGTAAATAAATATATTTTGAACAGATTATTATAAATAATAATTATGCAAACTAATAAACACTGTGTGTTAGTAACGAAAACATTAATTAAGTTATTTTTACAGTTCATAGTGCAAATTAAACACCATTTGTTTATTATTAATAATATTTGAATTAATATCATGTATTAATTAGTTATAATTTTTATTTTTTATTTTGTATACATTATTGGTAAATTATACAAACATACAAGTAAAGTTACTAGTATTATGTTGTCTAATTTAAAAAACTTTACTTTGTATTGCTCACTAAAAAAGCGACAATAATTAAATTGTATTTATATATCCCGCTGGTTGTTTAATTATAATGAACAATAATTATATTGTTAATATAGTTGAGTTTAGTATTTTAATAATTTACAAAGTACAAATTATTTAACTTTAGAAGTTCCATAAATAATAAATTCATATTTATCAATATTAAATATTAAAAAACAACCTTTCTTATATTTCATTCTGCGTGTCACAAAATATGTATTGGTAAAAATGTTCCAGTTCACTTCCGGATGTTTTAGGTATAAATCCTTTTTAATCATGTCGACCATTATATCGGCAGTATCAGCTAGCTCAATAGATTTAAACACGGTGTTTAGCACATAGGTTACCATGGTCTTGTTCATATTGTTTTGTACGATGTTTATATCATGCTCAACTCTCCCACTTTTTACTCTATCTTTTAATACTTTAAAATTGAACTAGATTGAAAATTAAAAATTATCGCGTTATAAATATATAATTTATAATGTACTTTATACTACTTACATTAATTGTTTTGAATATTTGTACTTGTAGCAAACCGTATTGTATATCAAGGTAGTATTCAATTTCCTCATTAATAAAAGTGCCAAAGGAACCAGCTCGACCAATGCCAATATGCCAACTATTACCAAGGTCATTAGTTAGAATTGTATTTAAATACTTATTAAGATTCTTAAATGAACTTGACAAAATAACAGCTCCTTTAATGAATTTTAATATTTTATCCGATGTTGCATTGGTTAAGTTATTGAATGTTATATCCGGTTTTGATATAGATAGCCTTGCTGATTTTAATATTTCAGTCTCAGTGTTCTGGTTAAAAAATAATTATAAATTTACAAAGTTACACTTGTTTTTAAATTTTGACTAATATTAAGTAAACTTGTTACAATATGATTGTTAACTAGATGTTTACTAGGTGATGTGAAATTGACCATGTTTATATTTGGTAATCCTTGTATAATACCAGTTTGCTTAGACAATTCATCACGCAACTATTAAAATAAATTTATATATAAATGTATCATTAATTTTTAAAAATATTTTATAAATTATAAAAATTTAATTACCTCGTCAATATTACACTGGGAATAAAGATTTTTACTTGCAATCATGTACACACAAACGCCAATTACCGCGGTCATTATACAAATTACTCCAATCAGACAATATATAACCATGTTTTGCTTTTTGCAAATATATACTTCCATTTTTATCAGACAACTTTTTTGTTTATTAATGAATGTCCAATTACTTATACAGGTAATTTAGAATTTTATGAAATATTAGGAAAATAATTTACATTTAAAATAAACAACAGCTAACTATTAATGAAATTATCTTATTAATTAATAACAAATGCAATAATACTTTATATAACATTATTGTAACACAATGAAATAAATAACAATTTTAATGATTTAGTCTCCTGGATAAATAAAGGTTAGTAAAAATTTTGCCAATAACATTATAATTAAATATATATCTGAATACACAAATAAATTTAAAATAATAGTTATATAAATAATTATATTATTTACTGTTGGGTACTTTTAAAGTTAGTACTTTTGTACATTTTGTATTATACACATAATTAAAATAATTAGAAAATGTTTTCAAAAAATTAATTAATAGAATTACAAAGTTAATAGACTTATAATTATTTTATATTGTAAAAATAAATAAAGTATTAATGTATTTAATTACTTTAGTTTTCTCTATCATAGATTTTATATTATTAAAATAATTATTATATTTAAACCACAATCGTTAAAATCAAAACCAACTTTACAAAATTACTTTCATATGGATGCATAATAGTGTTAAACAATACTGTTCAGTCATAAGTAAGCAAGGTTGCGTAACTAGTATTGATAAAATGCATTTAAAATTCTTGTATTAATTAATGCCACTAATAAAGAAAATAGAAATATATTAATATCATATAAAAAGCGATGCAATTATTTTTAGTTTAGTCGCCTGTAAGCAATGCAATAACTTTTTAATAAGCACTACTAATTTATTTACATAACAAGTTGATTAGATAAAGATATTACACTTTATAAGCTGTATGTTTACTAAAATAAAACTCTTTTTAAAATATCAAAGCATGGTATTAATTAACATAAAATAATATTTGTTATAATTAGTGAAAACTGGTGATTCATATGAAGGGATGTCTGTCCCACTGGTGTCTGAGTTGTTCACCAATTGGATCAACTCATCGGAAATCACATTAGCAGAGGTTTGTGTCACTCGTATGTCTCTAATGTTTATTACGGTCTATAATATGGTTTTTTATATGGGGACAGCAAGTGGGCAACGGTTCGTATGGTGTTGTCCATAAAGGACTGTTTAGGGGACAGGAGGTGGCGGTAAAAAAGATAAAGCCTGAACACAACCTGTCCTTCGAGACTGAACTGAAACAACTGTCCCGTGTGTCGGCTCACCCTAATATAGTCAACCTATTGGGTGCCGTAAGAGACAATGGCTTCTTGTCTCTGGTTATGGAGTTTGCCAGAGGGGGCAGTCTGTATGAAGGTATAGTTAAGGGTGTATTCATAGAGTACGTAGGCAGTAAATCGTATATGTTAGGTAGGCAATATTTTTATTTACGTTGATACTATATTAATGTATCACTTTACGTTATAAGGTGTATTATGTTTAATTATTAAACTAGTTTTATACATATCATGATTATTTGTTTTGTACTAATTACTATAATTAATTTTAAATTTAGTTTTACATTCCGAAGTACCGGTGCTGTACAGCCTGACCGATGCTATTTCATGGGCGCATCAGTGTGCTACTGGTGTCGCATACCTGCACTCAATGCGACCCAAAGCTATAGTGCATAGAGACCTCAAGTCTCCAAAGTATTTAAATATTTTATGTTTTAATACCAAAATAATTTATATATTTTTTTTCATCCAGTCTACTTCTAGTAAACGGTCGAGTGATAAAAATATGTGACTTCGGAACGGCATGTGATAAACGCACCATTATGACCATTAATACCGTGGGTGAATTTATTATTTATTGTAATAATTTTAATATGCACAAATATTCTTAAAAAATTAAAATAATTACCAAACTGTAAATTTTGTTGAAATTTCACATAATCTTTATTAATTCATAAGTATTTTTATTTATGGTTCTGGTAATAACCATAATAGTAATATATAATATTGTAAAACTATATAATTGTTCACAATTATTTTGATCTGGCTAAATATATTTGTTGCATAGGGATCGGCCCGATGGATGGCGCCAGAAGTGTTTGAGAGTTGCAAATACACGGAAAAGTGTGACGTCTATAGTTGGGCCATAATTTTGTGGGAAGTGTTGGCCCGACAAGTGCCGTATGAATGGTTAGAGGCCAATGACCAGTGTATACTATGGGCTGTACATACCGGTAAACGACCCCCACTTATGTACAACTGTCCCGAAGTCATTGAAATACTTATGACAAAGTGTTGGTCTAAGGACCCGGCTATTAGACCATCGATGCACGATGTAGTGGTCCGGATGGGAAAGGTAGTCAAGGGAATGACACATTCAAATGGTATGTTGTTATATACTGGTACATAATAAAATAACCTAGCTTAAGATGTTCACTTATTCTAAAGATTATTGTACACTCGGACCTCTATATAAGTGTCAGCCCACACCATATTACAGGATTGACCAACAAATTTCTACTTGCACAAATAATACTAATGAAAACATACTGGATTGTATAGTGCCTGTAAATATGTCCCAGTTCGGTGATAACACAAACACGTCATATAGTTGTACGGAGATATTGCCCCCAAATAAATATCGACACAATTTATCGGAAACTCATGTATTGCTCGATAGTCTGGCGGTATTACCGCAAAGTAAGTCATTTACCGGTAAATTAGTGTCAAATTTTCCGACAGTCCAGAGCGTAAGGTCGCCTAATGTCGCCAGTTATGAGACTAATGTTCGTCCTAATGGTTCATCACTTAAAAAGTACAATAACTCAAAAATGTCAACTTGGTTGTTTATTGTTAATAAACTCAGAAAGTGCTGTACAAGTACAATTAATGTGTTTAAATATAAACCAATGATATAATTTATTAGATAAAGTAAATTATATTGTAATAGATTTGGTACGTTAATTGTTGTAGTAAAATATTGATCCAATTACAAATTAGTTTGCAATATATTTGTGTTAAGATTTAATGTTGTGGAAATTTCGTATTCGCCATTTTCAGACCCAACTTGATTTAAATCTATATATTGCAGCTCAATATCAGTTGCTTGGGCAGTAACAGTGTCATTGTAATTATTTTCAGTTGTTGCATCCAGCTCTGTATATTGGACAGGAATGGTATAACTTTTATACGAATCACATTTGCCTAGTTTCAATTTCTTTTTTCTTGAACTATTGTCTAATTTTGCAATTATGTCATTCAAATCATTAACCAATTTTGTAAATGTTGGACGTTTTCGTGGGCTAAGTGCCCAACAACTTAACATAATGTTGTGAACTATCTTAGGACAGTAAGCGGGGCAAGGCATACGGCCACCATGTTTCAAATGATTTAATACTTCACCGTGGTCAACATCTGGGTATGGCGTGATACCTCGAGTCATTAGCTCCCATACCAGTACACCATATGCCCAGACATCGGTTTTTATATTATATGTACGCATTTCCAGGCTTTCCGGTGCCATCCATTTCACGGGAAGTTTACGATTCGTGTTATCGCTGCTATAATAGTCCTTTTCGTGTATTTCCCGCGATAGTCCAAAATCGCCTATTTTGACACACAGTTCCCCATCCAGCATACAATTCCTCGCTGCCAGATCCCGGTGCACAAAGTGTTGACTGGATAGGTATTCCATTCCTACAATATAAATGAATTTTATGAATAAACAAATTTTCATATAAAGGCCCTGTCAGCAAAGGAGCTCACGATATTTGTGTGATGTACCAACTACAAATATTAATTTGTAGTAGTAATAGTCGTAAGTTTGCACTGTTTGTATACATTTAAATTGTCAAACACTGAAAAACATGTGTCTAAACAAATAATAAATAAATCATAACAAATATCTGCCTTTTATTGATAATTCAAATTCAATTCCTTACCAAACAATTAGTTTTACACAGAAACAATAAAATATAATTGAACCATTTATTATAAAAAATATAATTAAAAACAAACAATTACAGTTATGTTATGATTAGTAATGATTAGTATTGATTAATATTTTATCACAATTTGTGGTATATTTATATATGAATTAACAAAATAAATCAATTTAAATGACAAATAAATGATTGCATGTGAGATAGATATCAATAAGTGGTGTCTTATATCGTACTCTCGAGGCGTGAACTCCTCCGCCAACAGCAGATCCGACGATAATATATCTGATCTTAAGGACACTTCTTGAGAATTGTCTCAAAGGCTTTCATATCAATGGATTCGGGGGAGGGTTTTGCGCCAATTGGTCTCTATTTATAAAATCCTCCTCAATATGTATTAGATGCCGACAAGTGTTTGGCCAGATATCACTATTTTGTATTTTATTGAATGCGTTTGTCATCAAATTCACGAATTGTTTAGGCGTTGTATTAAAGTTATATCTTGAGACGTTTTCCTTAAATATTGCCCAAATATTTTCAATTGGATTTAACTAGATATAATTAAAATAAATAAAATAAAATTAATAATTTAAAACTAATAACTTTTAATAATGTCTATTGAATTAGATTTTTGATCAAAAATAGAAACTTTTGTGAATATTCTGGACTTTTAAATGACTTGTTTTGAATTATTAATGACTATTAATATGTATACATATTGTTATCAAATATATTTTAAATGAATTTTTAATTATTGATTCATTAACTTAATTGTCTTAAAATTAAATATTTATATATAAAATGGTATTGTGTTTTGATCACTGAATAGAGGATGAGTTGTCTGTTATTTCCAATGTAATTACTAACCTCACAGCAATACGGCGGTAATCTCAATGGTATGTGACCCGCCGCCCAAATCATATCATTACAATATAACTTCGAGTAAAATTTGTTTTCACAATTGATAACAAAACTTTTTTTGTCGATTTTGTGTTAAATGATATTTTATTCTCCTTAAGAAATTCTTGTATTTGTGGTTTATTCCAAGCAGTTGTGGGTATGCTGCGAATATTAAAAATTAATTAGTATTTGAAAAATATAAGATGAGCAACCGGTGCCGAAAAGACACCTGAAGCGTGCTTAAGTTGGAACATAAAGTATACTGAGGGGTTGATAGGTGTGGAAGTATTTAATGGTGAAATTTAACCGAGGTAATAAATATTAAATACCTTTGGATGAACTGACTGTGCGGTTGGCAATTGTCGAAAACAATAACAGTTTTTTCTGTTAAGTTCGGCAGTAACTGTTCGGACAGCCATTTCGTAAAAATATCACCAGTTAATGGCTCAACACTTGATGCCCAAAGCTTTAAAGCATTCGGAACAAATCCGTCAATTCCTCCACAATGTAATATTGTATATCGTTTTCCTTTTCCTAATAATAATATACAAATATATACATTATTCTTTTGTTACATGTTAAGGGAATTGGAGTTTCGAGTAAACACTGAAATAAATCGATAATCGCATAAATAGTTTATGAGGCAAACCATTAAATGTCATAATCTTTGGTAATAAAAGTTTTAATAACTCAAACCTATTGTTATATTTGGTCAAGGCATTGCAAAACATTGCTTACATTCAAGTGGTTTTATAAATTCAATTATTATTCATAACTTATAAATATTTTTTACAACAATTGCATGAAACCAAAGATCACTTTCCAATACAATTATGATTAACATACCTAATACTAATTTGAAGGTAAATCTTTTGTTGTTATTATTGTTATTATTATTATAAACTGGCTGTACAATTGTTTTCCGAGAGATATTTTGATGAATAAATGTCTCATCGATGTAAACAATTGGAAGGTGTTGTCTTTCCAATTCTCGTTTAGTATTTAGATAATTAATTCTTTTATTCCGAATATGTTCGGAATTAATCTTCAATTCTCTTAAGAACTTTTTGGTTAATTTATTCTTGTATCCCATCTTTTTGACTATTCTATAAATAAAAATATAAATAAATTTTATTAAAGTGTTTATATAAATTATAATTTTAGAGCAAAGCCTAAATGTTAGCCAGCACATTCATCAAATATATAGATAATAAACATGAATAATATTTATACGAAAGAGACAATCAATTCTGCTTACATATGACTGTTCAGTGGTTTCATTGGTATAAAACACATATGTAAATATTCTTACCTATAAAATGTTCTTAATCCACACGTTTTAAAAGATAAATCACAATTTTCAATATTATTTTGCACATAATTATAAATGTCGTTTTTCGACATATATTGACCATCACTTAAACACTTTTCTAATATATTATTTATAATATTAAAATCGTTATTATTATAATAAAACTTAGGCTTTCGATTCTTCTTCTTCTTAGGTGAAGAGACGTCTTTATTTCTATAATAATAATAATACAACTAATTAATAATAAATGTTATGTTAGTCTAGCATTTGTTTCACAGAATATTCTCATATATTTAATGCTCTTTTGTTGACATAAAGTTTACTTCAAATTTTTGATTCATGAGCTCCTTTGCTGACAGGGCCTTTAATATATAAAATTAATGCTAATTATATGTTAGTTTTGTAATATGTTATCTATCACTAGGTATAAATTATTTTAACTTAATTTGTTTAAATTTTATTTCAAACTATTGAATGTTTGGTTTAATATATCTATAGTGATGACAACTTATGTAGTTATTTCCAACCCTATTTTGATCAAGTTCAAATTGCTCGTAATTTTCTGAAGTGGTGTCAACTTTCGATACACCTTTTATATCGAGGACAATCTGATTAAATGTTGGACGTTCATTCTGATCAATTAGCCAGCACGGGTTGATAATATCATATATGGATAAGGATATGCATAATATCTATTATCTACTCCTGGATAAGAAACATCACCAGGGGTAAATATTTCCCAAACTAGCACACCATACGCCCAAATGTCCGTTTTACTATTATAGAAACCTTTTTGTATGCTATCCGGTGACATCCATTTGACGGGTAGTTCGCATTTGGTATGATTACTCCGATATAGGGCTGCCAAACCTCCCGGTTTCACCGGGAGTCTCCCGGAATTGAGGTATTTCTCCCGTCTCCCGGTTGACTGTCTACCATGAGATTGATTTCTCCTGGACAAAAATTCAGACATTTATACACAAATTAAAGTTGTGATTTAATGAAAATATTTGAAAATGAGATCATAAATTGTCTACTTAATTATCGTGAATTTCATACAAATTAAATGAATATGATATTTGTTCAAGAAGCTCTGAGAGTACATTACAAAGTTCTTTTAAGGCCTCATGGAAAAATTAAATTTACAAACCAATAATTGAACAATCATAAATCTAGCTTATTTTAATAAAGAAAAAGTTTTTAAGTTTAGGTTGCCCTAAATTAGGTTAGGTTTATTTAAATTATCTGTTACTATGGCTAACGAACTATAGATCAATAATTGGGTATATCCAACTTATACAATGATTAAAATTAATTATAAAATTTATATGATATAAAAAACCTTCAGAAATTTCCAAAGCGAATTGGATTAGTATATTATCTGGGACATTTTTATTATCGTCTCGTAAATACGCCAAGAGGTCATCATTTTCCATATAGGGTAACAAAATGATAGGCTTTCCCGTGTTGTCGAAAGAAACTCCAATAAGTGGCAACACATTTTTATGTTTAAACTCAGTTATGGAAAGTGCCTCGTCAATTATATTATCAAGGTTATAAATGTTTCCAATTATTGCTGTGATAAAGGATAAATAATTTTAAATTTAAAAAAAAACATTTTTAAAATTTTACTTTTTGCCGCTATAATTTCACTAGATGGATTACTGTTGTTACGCAATATGGCTTTGTATATCCTGCCAAATTGATATTGAATCTTGACCAATAATGCTTTCAAATTCAATATCTGATCTTTTAAATAATATGCGGTAATTTTCCAAAATTTTTATAATTTCACCAGGTACATTATCAGTATGATCCAAAAGTAAAAATTCCTCTAAAATTAAATATAAATAGACAATTTTTACAAAAAGATTTTATCATTGTCAATAACTGATAACAATATATTTAAATCAAAATTAAATAAATATTTATATGTTAAATATTTTAAATAGATTTTAAATAGCGCAATCTTATTTTCCAGACCCGCCACACGGCCAGACTCCCATTATATCAGTATTAGACCAGCAACAACGTTATTTTATCAATATTTTACGTGGTCTGGTGGATCAGATACGGATATAATGGAAGTCTGTATGGCATTGAGTCTCAAAAGTGACAAATAGTGTCATTTACTAATGTTAAAACATAGGCAAATGACACCCTGTGTTATACTATGAGAATGAATGCTGTATGGTCTGGCAATTAAGAGATTCCCAAATAATATATTAATTATATATTTACCATTTACGGGGTTGTTACTTATTGAAACATTATGTGTAGAATATTGCCGAGTGAACTTTTTACTTTTGTTAGACCTATAGGATTTAGATTCTTGCTTGATCCTCTTTTATCGATATATTACATATACCACAACCATGAATAGTAAAATACCAAAAATGGTTATTACACCCAAACCCGTCAATACAATGAAATGTTGATCATATTTTTGTACACTTAATGTTATATTATTGTTTAAATTATCATGGCCTACTGTATAATCACTCGGATTTCTAAAAATTATAATTGAATTATTTAGTGACAATGAAGGTTTAATAGTTAATACATCCCCATTTATTGGATTAAGATACAAATATCCGATTGTAAAATTTGTATGAAAACCCACACTGACTGTCACCATTTAATTAAATTCTATTAAACTTTGTTTCCAACTACATATTATTTCATTAGATTTAAATGAAATAATATTACATTTATAATCGCCTATTCTCACTTTAACATCCCATTCCCGACAGCCACTATCAAGATTTTTACCATATATTGTCAAATTTTGAGCTTTAAATAATCTGGCTGTATATTCATCGAACGCATAATATGTTGGGTTTCAAAAAATCTTGAATCTTGGAAACAAACTGTTTTTACGATTACTCAAATTTTTCACAATCTCTACTGAGTCCATTATGAAACCAAAGTTTAGTTCGACAAAATCAACATAATCAATATAGTTTATTGGAACACGTGGGCTTACACATTTCATCTCATCTACCGAAAGTGCTATGCACTTACCGTAATATTCTTTAAACATATATTCAACATAAATCAATGGTCTTTGTACTACGTGCAAATTGTTACCAATTA